CCTCCACCCCCTCCTCCGGCGGCTGTTCCCCCATGCTCCTCTCCCTCCTCGTCCTCTGCCTCCCCCCCTTCTCCATCCTCCTCCTCCTCCTCCTCCTCGTTCTCCTCTGCGTCGTCGTAGTCGTCGTCGTCCTCGTCCTCCTCCTCCTTATGAACAATCGCGCCCCGAGGCCAGTCGGAAGGGCGGGCCGGGCGTTTCGCCTGAGACTTCCTGGCCACTTATGAGCCTGAAGCTTGAAAGCTGGCAGCCGCTTCACAGGTGGAGGGCGGGCCGCTTGCCACATTTGGCTCTCACCGCAGCGCCGCGCATGCTCGCTTTAAACATTTGCAAGAACTTCACCGGTTGAGGGCGGCTCCTTTGCAAAATGTGGCTCTCGCCCTAGCGCCGCGCGCGTTCGTCGTAAGCATTTACAAGAGCTTCACAGATTGAGGGCGGGTGGTTTGCAAACTGCGGCTCTCGCCTTACCGCCGCGCACATTCGTTTCAGCAGTTTGCAAGGCTTTCACGTTGACTCTCTTGGTTCACGAACCAGAAGCCGTGCTTTAAAGAGATTCAGGACTGTCAGGGCACGACAATTATTCTCATTCGCGGTGTTGAAGTCCCAACAATGGTCTTCAGAGACGATTCAGGATCGTCAAGACGCAACGATCTGGTTGACTCGTGGCGTTGAGGTCCGGAAAATGGTGTTTTGGCACGCGTTAGGATTTTCACACGGTTGTCCCCCAACGGGGCACTCCCCTCAGTGGGCATGAGCATTTGTGGGGGCCTATGACGAAGGAGCTTGGAGGGAGGGTGTATTCCAACTCCGTTGATGAATCTTGGGTTTGCACTGGTCCTCTTCATCCTCCTCCTCCTCCACCTCTGCCTCAACCTCCACCTCCTCCTCCTCCTCCTCCTCCTCCTCCTCCTCCTCCTCCCCCTCCTTCTCCTCCATTCCTTTTGCTTACACATAATTTCTCACTGCCGCACCCCGAAGCCAATTTTTTAGGGCGGGCCGGGCGTTTCGCCTGAGACCTCCTCAAAATTTATGACCCAGAATCTGAACACGTGGCAACAGTTTCACATATGGAGGGCGGGTCGTTTTCAAAACATTTGGCTCTCGCCTTAGCGCCGCGCACTTTTGTTTGAAAACGTTGCAACCGTTTCGCGGATTGAAAACGGCATGTTTTCACAATGCGATTCTCGTCTTAGCACAGTGCACATTCGTTTAACTTGGAAGAATTTCGCAGATTGTTGGTGGACCGTTCTCAAAATGTGGCTCTCGCCTAGCGCCGCGCACATTCGCTCTTAAGATTTGCATGGGCTTCACGGATTGAGGGCGGTTCCTCTTCAAAATATTGCTCTCGCCTTGCGCCGCACACATTCGTTTTTACTACTTGCAAGGGCTTCACGGATCCCCATGATCAGCGTACCAGGAATGGTGTTTTGGAAGGGGTCAGGATCATGAGGGTGCAACAATTACGTTGGTTCGCGGTGTTGAAGTCCCAAGCATGGCGTTCTGGCACGATTCAGGATTACTCAGGTTGATCCATGGCGTTGAGATCCTGAGAATAATGTTTTGGGATGTTTCAGGGTCTTCAAACGATTGCCTTCCAACGAGGCAGTTCTCTCAGTGGATGTGAACCGTTGTAGGGTCCCATGAAGAGGGAGATTGGAGGGAGAAGTTTATTCTATCATCGATGATGACTCTTGGGTTTACCCTGGTCCTCCTCCTCCTCCTCCTCCTCCTCCTCCTCCTCCTCCTCCTCCCCCTCCTCGGCGTTCTTCTCACCGTCTCACTGCGGGTTAAAAACGCATCGGCGACGTCGGCGACGCATCAGCGACGCCAGCGTGGAGAAAATGGGTATCCACATCGAGCCGCACCACCGATGCATCGGCGATGCGGCGCGATCCTCCGACCCAATCTACTCGGACCCCATTCGGGAGGCCTACAGTGCCCCTCTTGTCGTTTTCACTATGCCTCCGACGTTGCTGTCTGATTTCTCAGCACCATCTCCCAAATCGGCTTACTGCGTCGCGGGCAGACTTCGTTGCAGGCCCCGTGTCAAGATCTGAAGAGCAACGCCTTCGTCGCTCTTGTGCTCGATGAGGGGAGGTCTGGGTTCCGAACTTCGGTCCGAGTGGATGGGGTCGCAGGATCGCGCCACATCGCCGATGCACATGTCGATGCTGCATCGGCGACGGCGGCCGGCGGTGCATCGGCGACGTCGGCGTGGAGAAATCCGCCGTCCTTGGCGGCGTGTGCGAGACGCTGTTTTGCTTGACTCGTAATCCGTCGCCGTCGCCGTCGCCGTTGCCGTCGCCGCTCCTCGCCCCTTTCTCTGGGCCCTCCTCCTCGAGCGCGCCAGCCAAGGCGAAATCGAGCAACGTTGCAGTTGAGTCGAAAGGGTACTCCTTCCCTTTGACCCCTTCCCCGCCGAGGGGGAGGCCCAGAACGGCCCAGAAAGGCCCCAAGACGGTCCAAGAGGGCCCCCCAAAGGCCCCCAAAACGGTCCAAGAGGCCCCGAATCGCCGCACAGTCGGTCCAAGACGCCGAAGATAGCCTCCAGACGGCCTAAGGGGCCTCCAAAACGCGCCATGAGGCCTCCAAGAGCATTCCCAAGAGGACCCCAAGAGGCAACTTTCATTGATTTTCTTATGGCTTTATGCCCCCAAGATCGCTCCAAGACGGCCCAAGAGGCCTCCAAGAGGGAAGGCCCCAAAATAACCCCAAAGGGCCCCAAGACGGCATCCAAGACGGCCCAAGAGGCCCCCCAAACGGCTCCAAGGAGGTGCCCAGACGGGGGACCCGAACGGACATTTCGAGCCCTCGGCCTGGAGAGGCTCCCAGGAGGCCCCCAAGAGGCCCCCAGGAAGCCCCAAGCGGCACCCCAGAGGCTCCCGAGAGGCCCCCAAGTGGCTCCCAAGAGGCCCCCAAACTGCCCCCCCCCTCCCCCCCAGAGGCCCCGGAGAGCGCTCCGGAGAGACCCCGAGAAGCATCCCCGAGGATCCCGACCCGCGTCAGCGTCGTCGTCGTCGTCGTCGCCCCCCTTCAGGATCGACGGCACAGCACGTGAGGCCTTGGCAAGAAGGCTCCACATCGGCGATCCGCCGACCCCACCCACTCGGACCCCCTCTGGGACGCTCTTGCCCGACACGCGGACGCGGCGTCGGGCGAAGAGGCCGCGGCGCGAGCGCCTTTTTCGGGCCGCCGAGGTCGCGCTCCTCTCGCCGCGCCAGGTCTTCTGCGCAGCGGATGGGGGAGGTCCGATTCGGTGAAGCGACCAGGGCGTGGAGCGAGCGGACGGGGGAGGGAGAGGAAGGAGGGAGCCGGGGGAAGAGGGGGGGCGAGGGGCGGGAGCGTCGGAGGGCGGGAGAGAGGGAGGAGGCAGGAGCGATGGGTATGAGAACAGTACGGGCGATGAGAGTAGCAGTGGTGCCACTCATGATGCTTCTGCGTAATCGTGTCAGTCCGCCACAGTGCGCTTGAGGCAGGAGTCGGAGTGTCCTCAGGTCACCTCTTCGATGCCCTGTAGCATCCGTCTTCCATGCTGGGGATTCCTTCAGGGGCCCGGACCCGACATTCCACCAGCCATCTTTGCGTAGGTGGTCTACTGATGTTAGTTCCTCTTCCCCAGGCCTATCTTCAATTCGGGGAGGGGTACTCCAGATTTCGTAATAAAGGGAGGGGGGTCTCATTTCGGGGGGTGTCTCTTCCAAGCTATCTTGGAGGGCCTGGGGGGGGGGTCTGGGGACGATGTTTTGGAGGGTTCTCCCACGGGGGGGGGTCTGAAATGGCTTGTCTTGGAGGGTCCAGACCCCCTCCCTTTAATACGAAATCTGGGGTGCCTGCCCTCCCCCTCCCCTCCCCGAGGCTCTTTTGTTGGGGAGTTCGCGAGCGGTCCGAGGGCCCAAGGCGGCCCACAATGGCTCCAAGAGGGCCTCCGACGCTCCAGGATGGCCTCCAAGATGGCTCAAGGTAGCCGAAGATGGCTTCCAGCGTGCTCCAAGAGGCCCTAACTGCCGCTCCAATGCGGTTTCTCAAGTGCTCTCGGACCACCTCTCGGGACCCCCACCCAAGAGGCGCACATCCTTCGAACACCCAAGGAACGTCTATGACCATTGCCTTCGCTTTGAAGGCCTCAACGTGGGCTGCGCCATGACGCCAGGAGGAGGAGGTGGAGGAGAAGGAGGAGGAGGAGGAGAAGGAGGCGGAGGAAGAGGCGGGTGAGGAGGAGGAGGAGGAGGAGGAGGCGGAGGAGGAGGAGGAGGAGGAGGAGGAGGAGGAGGAGGAGAGGAGGAGGAGGAGGAGGAGAGAAGGAGAGGAGGGAAGGAAGGAAGAGGAGGAGGAGGAGGAGGAGGAGGAGGAGGAGGAGGAGGAGGAGGAGGAGGAGGAGGAGGAGGAGGAGGAGGAGGAGGAGGAGGAGGAGGAGGAGGAGGAGGAGAAGGAAAAAGGGAGGAGGAGGAGGAGGAGGTAGGAGGAGGAGGAGGAGGAGGAGGAGGAGGAGGAGGAGGAGGAGGAGGAGGGAGGAGGAGGAGGAGGAGGAGGAGGAGGAGGGGAGGGGGGAGGTCGAGTAGGTCGAGGAGGAGGAGGAGGGAGGAAGAGGAGGAGGAGGAGGAGGAGGAGGAGGAGGAGGAGGAGGAGAAGGAAGAGGAGGAGAAGAAGAAGGAAAGGAGGAGGAGGAGGAGGAGGAGGAGGAGGAGGAGGAGGAGGAGGAGGAGGAGGAGGAGGAGGAGAAGAAGGAGGAGGAGGAGGAGGAGGAGGAGGAGGAGGAGGAGGAGGAGGAGGAGGAGGAGGAGGAGGAGGAGGAGGAGGAAGAGGAGGAGGAGGAGGAGGAGGAGGAGGGAGAGGTCGAGTAGGTCGAGGAGGAGGAGGTAGAGGAGGAGGAGGAGGAGGAGGAGGAGGAGGAGGAGGAGGAGGAGGAGGAGGAGGAGGAGGAGGAGGAGGGGGAGGGAGGGAGGGAGGGAGGGAAGGAGGGAGGAGGGGGGAGGGAGGAGGGGCGGCACATGGGCCACGGGCAGCTAGCGCTCGGAGGCCAGGATGCCCTGTGTCGGGCTCCTCGCGCCTCGGCGCCCCAGCTCGTCGCGGCCGCGCCTCGGCGTCGGCGCGGCGGTGGCCAGCTCCGCCGGGGCTGTCAAGTTCTCTCGCCGCAACTTCGCCGTCACGGCCTGGCCCGCCAGCTCCGTGCCCGCGGCGCCGCGCACCAGCACGGCGTAGCGCTGGAGCTGGGCGTCGAACGCCTCCACCTCCAGGGGAGGAAGAATTGCAGCTGCCGCTATCCTTGCCTCGTCTTCGCCTTTTCGGGGCCTCTGGGAGGCCCTCGTCGCCTCGACTAGGTAGATTCGCCTCGACATTCTGGACAGGACTCGGAGACGCACTGGTTCGGGTCGGTGCAAGCCCGTGTCGGCCAGGCTTTGCAGGATCCCACAAATCCTTCAAGATCCTGCAGGATCCTGCGCGCTAGCCGGGGTCAGTGCGCCCCTGGCACTGCAGGATCCTGCAAGATCTGGCGCTCTGGCTGACCTCCGTTTGCATTGACCCCCGTCCCAAGGCTCCCGAAGGATGCACCCCAGGAGAGGTCCGGGGAGTATCGGCATCGGTATCTATCGGTTTCCCCACGCCTTGCCCAGCTGGCCGTTGTACTGCGGGGTCTGCACCAGGCCAGTGATCACGACGCTCCTGCCGATGAGGTCCTCCCCGGGCGGCGCTCCGAGCTCGCCGCTCCCCGTGGGCTCCTCCTCCTCGCTCTCCTGCTCTGCGAGCTCGCCCCCCTCCGCGTCCGCGAGCCCCCCCTCCTCGGCGAGGCGAGTCTCGGCGGAGCCCTCTGCCTCGAGGTCGTAGCCGTAGGACGCGGCCTCGCCGCCCGCCGAGTCGGTGCTGCTGTCCGCGGGCGGCGCCCTCTCGGCGAAGCGGAAGCCCGTGGTGGCGTCCACCAGGGGGAGGAGGAGGAGGAGGAGGAGGAGGAGGAGGAGGAGGAGGAGGAGGAGGAGGAGGAGGAGGAGGACGAGGAGGAGGAGGAGGAGGAGGAGGATGAGGATGAGGAGGAGGAGGACGAGGAGGAGGAGGAGGAGGATCAGGAGGAGGATCAGGAGGAGGAGGGAGGAGGAGGAGGTGGAGGAGGAGGACCAGTGGAAACCCAGGAGTCATCAGCGATGTCGCAATTAACCCTCCCTCCAAGCTCCCCTTTCATAGGCCTCTACAAGGGCTCATATCCACTGAGGAAACTGCCTCGTTGGAAGACAACCGTTTGAAGACCCCGAAGCATGCCAAAACATTGTTCTCGGGATTCGAAAACCACGGATCAACCTGACTGTTGCGTCTTGACGATCTTGTATCGTGCCAGAACACCATTCCTGCGACTTCAACACCGCGAATCAGCGTAACTGTTGCACCCTCATAATGGTGAATCCTTCCAACACACGATGTCTGGTTTCTTGATCATGGGAATCCGTGGAATTCTTTCAATTTTGAAGCAAATGTGCGCGGCGCTATGGCGAGAACAACATTTTGAAAAAGAGCCGCTCCCAATCCGTGAAACTCTTGCAACAGCAAATGTGCGCGGCGCTAAGGCGAGAACCGCATTTTGAAAACGACCCGCCCTCAATCCGTGAAGCTCTTGCAAGTTTTTAAGGCGAATGTGCGCAGTGCTAAGGCGAGAGCCACATTTAGAAAACGACCCGCCCTCAACGAGGAGGCGGAGCAGGAGCAGGAGGAGGAGCAGGAGGAGGAGGAGGAGGAGGAGGAGGAGGAGGAGGAGGAGGAGGCGGATGAGGAAGAGGAGGAGGAGGAGAGGAGGAGGAGGAGGAGGAGGACGAGGGGAGGAGGAGGAGGAGGAGGAGGAGGAGGAGGAGGAGGAGGAGGAGGAGGAGGAGGAGGGGGGCGTCCACCAAGGTGACCCAGCCCTCCATCGGGCCCCTGGGGCCTCGCCGCGCCACGCGCACGAGCGCCCTGCGCCTGCCGCCCTCGAGCGCCTCGGGGACCTCCAGCGCCGTCAGGCGCTCGCCGACGCCCAGGCCGCCCATGCGCTCGCTGCCCCGCTCGAACGCGGCGGTGACCGGCAGCTCGTCGAGGGGCCCCGCGGACGTGACGCGGTAGTCCCCGGGCGAGTCGGCCTCCATCAGCTCCGCGGGCGGGGTGGCCTCGGCCTGGTGCTCACCCTCGTCCCGCTCGAGGAAGCGGAGGCGGCTCGCGGCGTCCAGCACGGTGACCCAGCCCGCCGCGGGGATGACGATGCGTGCCCGCAGCCGGCCGGCGACCAAGCGCGGGGCCAGCTCCACGACGGCGACGCAGCTTCCCGTGCCGAGCTCCGCCACCACGCGCGACTCCCGCTCTGCAGACTCGGTGACCGGAAGGAGCGACGCACTTCCGGTGGACACGACGGCGTACCCACCGGGGCCGTCCTCGCTGACTCTCCTGGCGAAGCGGCAGCCGCTGCCAGTGTCGAGCAGCGTGATCCAGCCGCCCGGGCTGGCTATCTGCGCGCGGCGGCACCCCTGGTCGGAGTCCTCATGGATGGCCAGGGCGCCCACGATCGTGCCCGCGCGCACCTCGCCGACGGTCGTGGATGCGCACGACCTGCCTGCCGTCACAGGCACGGTGCCCGCCACACCTGCCGACACGACCCAGTAGGTTCCTGGCCCGTCGTCGTCTGGTCTCTCCGGGGGCGGCAGCTCCGCCAGCGGGCCCTCCGCGGGGCCCTCCGGGATCGCCTCTGCGGGGAGTGCCGCTGGCCGAGGGCGCACCGGGCGAGACTGGCGCGGCGAGGTCCCGGGCGTCGACGGGGCGCCGAGGTCGACCTCGCTGAAGCAGGGGCCCACGTCGAGCACGGCGTCGCCCAGCTCGTCCAGGAACTCGCTCCCCACCACCCAGCTGAGCTCCGCGACCCCGCTGGAGAGCGACCACTCGCTGGCCTCCTCTGGGGCGGTCGTGTCGAAGGTGGTCTTCAGCGTCAGCTGCAGGGCGTCCTGCACGGCGGCCTCGTCGTTGGTGTCGGGCCCAGCGCTCGCGTCCAGCTCCCCGCGCGCCTCCGGCGGCGGCACCCGCTGCTCCGCCTCCTGCCTGCCCTCCGCCTCCTGCTCGCTCCGCTCGACGGCCGCCCCCTGCGCCTGCGGTGGCGCAGGCGGCGGTGCTGGCGCCGGCGGTGCCGGCGCCCGCGGCGATGCCGGCGTCGGCTCCTCGCGCCCGCCGCCCCTCGCGCTCGTCTGCATCCTCAGCGCCTCCCGCAGCTGCCGCTCGGCCTCCTCCCGGGCCCGCCGCTCGTCGTCGGCGCGCCGCTCGGCCTCCTCTCTGGCCCGCAGGCCCTCGGCCGCCCGCTGCTCGGCGGCGCCCCTCGCCTGGCGCTCCACCTCGAGCTCGAGGACCTTCAGCGCCTTCTCCGTCTCCAGCCTGGCCTCGCGCTCCTGGGCTTAGTCGGGTATGTCCTCCTACACAGGCGGATTTTGGAGGACAAATGTAAAATAGTGACAACATCTGTCCCAAACATAAATAGTGACAAAATAGTAACAACATAATGACACATGAAAAAAGTGTCAACCAAGACATCAGCGAAAACTCGTCCCCGGACTATCTCTGGACTATTTTGGGACTTTCCCCCCTGCAGAGGGACAGGCCCGACTCCATCCTGGGCCGCTCTCCACTCCGCCGCCAGCCTCGCCTTCTGGTCCTCCACCGCCCTCTGCTCGGCCTGCAGGGCCTTCTGCTCCGCCTGCTGCACCCTCCACTCCGCCTGGCGCTCCGCCTCGAGCTCCCGGGCCCTCCACGCCCTCTCTGCCTCGAGCCTCGCCTCGCGCTCCGGGGCCGCCCCCCGCTCCGCTGCCCGCCCCGCCTCGCGCCCCTCCTGCTCCGCCCTGTGCTCCGCCCCCTGCGCCGGCCCCTGCTCCTCCGCGGAGCGCTCCGCGGAGCGCTCCGCCGCCGCCGGCGCGGGGGGCGCCTCCAGCTCCCGCCCGGCAGGGCTCGGGGCGTCGGCGCGCTGCTCCGCCTCCCCTGCGGCGCGCGGCTCGGCGGCGGCCACCTGCTCGGCCGGCCCAGAGACCCTGGCGACGACGGCCCCGACCTGGTACCCGTTCGAGAGCGGCGGGTGCACGATGATGGAGCCGAAGCCAGCGATGGTCCTCGTCTCCGAGTGCCCGCCTGCTGTGATGGAGACCACGTCGCCGACCGCGAACCCCTCCTGCGAGGCGACGCTCAGCCGCGTGTCCCCCGGGTGGGCAGGCTGCGCCAGTGTCGTCGACGCGGGCGCCAGCGCCGCGAGCTCCACGGCCGTCGGGGCTGCGGGGGGCGGCTCGGCCTTGGCAGGGGGCGCTTCTGGCATGCCGGCAGAGGGCTGGCTCTGCAGGTCCGCCGGGCCGAGCTCGTCCGCCGCCGGGGTGCCCTCCTCCAGTGCCGCGAGCTCCACGGCCGTCGGGGCTGCGGGGGGCGGCCCGGCCTTGGCACGGGGCGCTTCTGGAATGCCGGCAGAGAGCTGGCTCTGCAGGTCCGCCGGGCCGAGCTCGTCCGCCGCCGGGGTGCCCTCCTCCAGCGCCGCGAGCTCCACGGCCGTCGGGGCTGCGGGGGGCGGCTCGGCCTTGGCAGGGGGCGCTTCTGGAATGCCGGCAGAGGGCTGGCTCTGTAGGTCCATTGGGCCGAGCTTGTCCGCCGCCAGGGTGCCCTCCTCTGCGGCTGGGGCTGCGAGGAGCGCCTCGGCCTTGGCAAGGGGCGCATCTGGAACGCCGGCAGAGGGCTGGACCCTCAGGTCCGCCGGGCCGATCTCGTCTTCCACAGGCGTATCCTCCACAGGGGCTTCCTCCTCGGCGGCGAGGGAGGAGGAGGAGGAGGAGGAGGAGGAGGAGGAGGAGGAGGAGGAGGAGGGAGGAGGAGGAGGAGGAAGGAGGAGGAGGAGGAGGAGGAGGAGGAGGAGGAGGAGGAGGAGGAGGAGGAGGAGAATGCTCGAGTTTCGGCTGGAGGCTCTTCGACCTATTTGTCTTCCAGGGCCCGCTTCGGGCCACACTGGGAGCAGACATCGAACCAGGACGAGACAACTTGCGGGCGGGAAACATGGGCGCGCAAGCTGCCGCGCTGCCGGCGCTGTTCGCACGAGCGACTGCGGGGAACGGGATCCTGCTCCCTGCCTTCGCCCTCGGGGCCCCAAACCCTCGAGGGCTTGGGGCCCCTTCCGGGGCCCCAGGTCTCGCCGAACTTGGCGCGCTGCCCTGCGACGCCGACCGCAACGCTTCAACTCTTTGCGCGAGTCGACCCCCCTTTCGGCCAGCGCCCGTGTCCATATCCACGGCCTAGCGGCCTGGACTCCTCGGCCGCGACCCCATGGCTGCAGGGCGGCTCTGCGCGGCCGCCCCCCGCGCAGCACGTATACTTCTCCGTGGGGTCGCGCGCCCATGGGATCGCGCGCCTCGGTGTCCCGGCCGCGAGGGCACGGAGATGAAGGTGCCGCGGTCGTCGCTCGTGCACGCCGGCCCGCATGGACCCTGGGACCGACCGCCCTCGCGCTCTCCCTGCTGCCCCGCGCGTCCTCTGGCCGCCCTGCGTGGACCCTGGGGACCGACCGCTCACGCGCTCTCTCTGCTGCCCGGCGCGTCCCCTGCAGTGCGCCAGCCGGCGTCGCGAAGGGAGGCGCCCTATTGGTCGGATCGGTGGGCGCCGCGTGCCGACGTCGGCACGGCGCAGGGCCACGCGCAGAGATGGCGAGGGGGTGGCCGCGCAGGCTCACGTCGTGACGCGTTGCGCGTTGGAGTCTGGCACCGCATCCCCGGCATCTTGTGTACTGATCTTACCAATCCACCCTGGAAGGATCGAAACCATCAGGGTAGAAGCAACCACCGGTTTGTATACCAGAATCAATATCCAACAAAGACCAGGATCAGTTCGCCGAAGACAGGCAACGACACATCATGCCAGGGCGCACATCGCGCAGAACTGCTCGACATACAGATGTGTGCATGTACATATCTGCACGTACGCATGTCTCTATAACTGTGCGTGCACATATGCATATCCCATAGCTACATTTATACTCACGCAAGTCATACATACATGCTCATGCGTTGCCCATACATGTGTGCAGGTATGGTTTACATGGTGTAATATATATACACACATCAATATACTGTGTACATGCGAACATATACCCCTCGCCACCATTACACACATCGTTACATGTTCCTGTGCATTCGCATGTTTAGAGATCTACGGGTTATACGTATACACATACATGCACACATGTATACATACCTTCGCATGCCTGCTCTTGATGTATAGTCGTGTTAACACGACGACGAAAGATAATGGGGGAAGGGGCCTCCAGGAGGCGGGGTGGTGGAAATGAGGAGGATAAGAGGAGAGGGCACATGGCGTGGACCGCCCTGCAGCAACGACGAGTGCCACAACATCCGCCTGAGCGTCGCGCGCCCGCCGTTCCTTCGAAGCGCTGCGGGCCGATCCTTTGAGCCTCCTGTGTAACATTGGCACGTGGGCCAGCCGAACGTCATCCCTCAAGTGTACTCCAGGCAGCTCGGGCGCCATGCAAACGAGGCAACAGGCGGCATATGCGCATGTATACCAGTACCGAAGTCAGCTGGCTTTCTGTCCTGCTCCCCCTGCATATCCCCAATCCGATCTTCCCTGGTTCCATGCGTGCGGGAGGCGTAGATGTTAGGGGGTTGTTACCTTATCATTTTTTTTTGCGTCTCGTCCATGTCTTTAACCTCCTCCTCCTTTTCCTCCTCCCCCTCCCCCTTCTCCTTTGTTGCCATGTTGGATGAAACCCATGCGTGGCCAATTCGGTCCAGGCTTTATTCCCGTTCCCATGTCGTTATAATCTAGGACCCTGCGAGGCCCCCACCCCTAAACGGGACCCCTCTGGGTTCTTTGCCCTGGGGGCATAATGGACGCCCTTGCAGACGGTCCCCTGTGCTTTCCGGGGCTCAGGAAGACCCTGCTGGGCCTAGGCAACGGGCCCAAATCGGTCAGGAGGGCGGCCCGACGGCTACGCGAGAGCCCACAGAGGCCCCAGGCACTTACCAGATGCCCGAGGACGACCCAAGGAGGAGCCCCACGAGGCACTCGAGACGCGACAAAACGTGGATGTTCCCTATGGTTTTTGCACGATGCTGGGGATGCTCAATTTTCTGCGGTCTCCCAGGCGTCCGAGACTGCGCGGGAGGCTAGAGCATCGCCCCAACTCTAACCAAGAGGGCCTTCAGGCAGTCAGAGAGGGGCCCCAAGACGGCCCAACAGGGCCCCAGGAGGGCCCGAAGAGAGCCCCATGACGGCCCAACAGGGCCCCAAGATGGCCCGGAGAGAGCCCCGTGACGGCCCAGCAGGGCCCCAGGATGGCCCGAAGAGAGCCCCGTGGCGGCCCGAAGTGGCCACGAAACGCCTCCCGGAGCATTCCAAATCGTGACCCGGTCGTTCAGGCAGACCGCGGTTTTTAAGCAGGGTGGCCCGGGAAGCCCCCCAGTGGCCCCCAGAGGGAACCCAGGAAGCTTCCAGAAGGCCCCAACAACCCCTTAAAAACCATCGTGAGACTTACATGAGGCTCGCCTGGGATGAGCCTCAACAAAAAGAGCTAAGGATGGTGGTGAATTCCCAGGGTAGGGCAAGAATGAGGAAGAGGAAGAGGAAACACGAGGTAAGGATAACGAATAACATTCATACAACGACGATGAAAGACAACATGCAACAGCGATTTGTCGCGAAATGTTCAATTTTACCTTGTTGTTGGCTTCCTGTCTGCATGCCGAACCTGAAAGATCAAAGTGCATGGCGCGACTTGAAGCTCGGCGAGGGCTGGCAAATCCGTGGCTGCTAAAACGGTCTTCCGGGAAAAACAAACAAGTTCCCGGAATCAAGCTCAGCGCACTAAATAATAAACGGGCTGCTTCCCGGAAGAAAAAAAACAATTTCCCGGAACTCCGTTTCAGCAGCCACGGGTTTGCCAGCCTTCGCCCGGCTTCTGAGCGACGCGCCAATGCAGTCTTGTATGGGTATATCTAAGTAGATCCATGCATACATGCTTGTATGCCTGTATGCATGCATGCCTGTATGCATGTATGCATGTATGCCTGTATGCATGTATGCATGCATGTATGCACGTATATATGCACGCATGTATATATACGTGCATGCATTCATGCATGCATGTCTGTCTGTGCCTGCCTGCCTGTCTGTCTGTCTGTATGTATGTATACATGCATCTACGTATGCACGAATGTATGTATGTCTGTATGTGTGTATGTATGTACGAACGTACGTACGTACGCACGCACGCACGTACGCAACCAACACGCCTCAAATAATACATTTGGAAGAACTGTGACGTAAAACGTACAATCGATCTGTATCGGAAGGATGCACGGTAAGGATGCGAGGGCCTTGGAAGGCCGTTTCGACACTTTGCAAGCGGAGCGCGGCCAACAAGAGTGGCCAAGGATGGACCGATGAGGCAAGGACGCAAGGGTACCCTTGGGAAGGTTGCACATCCTTACAAATTATGCGAATTGACAGTAATACCTTGTGGAGAGCTGTGGCGTAAAGCGTATGCCCACCGTTGGCGGCGTTCGCCTGGCGAAAATTTTCGCGCTCATCAGGGGAACTATCAATAGAATCTAGGGTCCCCGTGGCGGCTAGCATTGGCTAACCATTAGGTGCACCATCATGTGATGCTTAAAAACTTGGTGCCCGCCCCACTCTTGGAAATGGTGCAGTAAGCGCATCCCCGCTCTCTGAAGCTTCCCGAGCCCTGCGGGCCTCATCACACGAGGCTCTGCCATCCTCATGGAAGAACACCGACTTCTTTACTCTACCCCCCCAAATAAATCGTCACGTGTGAATTCTGTGATATATGCAGTAATGGCCCGTCTATGCAAGCGTCGCCGCCCTCCTCTGCCTTTGCCGTAGCCTTTGCCTCCTGTCATCCTCCCGAAAATTCACCTCGCCCGTCGTACTGGCTTAAGTGTAAACCTCCTCCATTTACGCTTAGCCCGCTGCATTGACTAGAACAAATATTATCCCCGCTGTTCGTCCCTCTCCATATTTAGCTCTCCATATTTTGCACATCCGCCCAATTCAACGCTTAATTTTCTTTGGAGGAGTCAGTGTCGAAATCCGTTACAAAATTGTACTTGGCGTCGGCGGCGTAGGTGGGCTCTAACGGGTTAGCTTCACCCGGAAGGGCGTTGGCGTGTCGAGGTTGTGTTGTGGTACGTACACTATTCCAATACGAGCCAGAGTTGGCGTTGAAGCCTGCTGTCGGGCCAGCAGAGCGGTGGTCTCTTCACCGTAGCCTGCTCGTACGCTGCTGTTGCGCCCGTTTCCAGGCTCTGAGTTGTTGGTGGCAAACACATGATGAGCATTGCTGTTGCCACCACCTCTGCCCCTCCCGAATGCTGAGCCGATGTTCCCTGGAACGCGTTCTGCCATGTGTCCTCCGGACCGCATGCGATCAAGTGGCGCTTCGTACTCCACCAGGGTGGTGGTTGAGTGGTTGGAGTAGTTGCGTAGCACGTTGAGTGCCAACGCCCATGGTTCTTTGGTAATTGGTTGGGTGTTCCAAGTTTTCGCCACGCTGCCGCCGTTGTCGTCTCGTGAGCGCTCCGCGCTTCGGAGGGATTCCGAGGTTTCGCCATGTTGCCGCCCGTGCCGCCTCGTGGCATCCCCGTGCGTTGGGTGGATTTCCCGATGTTGCGGCACGTTGCCGCCCGTGCCGACTCGTGAGCACGTCGTGGGTGCCCCGTGCTCTGAGCTTACACGGCAAAGCTTTCAACACATAGCTTTCGTCACATAGCTCACACCACGCAGATCACACCGCACACACCGCATAGCTTACACAATACAGCTTGCATACTTTGATTTTAATATCGATTCCACGCCGCATAGCTTGCACGACATAGCTTGCACCACATAGTTCGAACCACATACTGCTCACCTCGCCATTGTGCGCGCCACATAGCTTGCACGACATATATTTCACCACATCGCTGACAACGCAGAAACTTCACCTCCACAGTGCAACGACGCACTGCTTGGGGTCCACGCTGGCTAGCATGTTTCAAACGACGAAAGAACATGTTTCAAACGACGCGAGCATGTCCAGGGGCACGACGCAGAAAACTTCTGGACGCCCGCAATGGGCACGGAAATAATGGGTACAATACCCAACAGCAAATGTCAGCGGACGCTGTTGGGCAGGCGGCCTTCTGTCTCGAATGGACAAAGGCCGCGGCGGCGCGGACAGCGAGTCCTGTTCAAAATGAACAGGAACTGCTGCTGAGCAGTGTACCCATTCTTTCCGTACCCATGTCGGTCGTCCCGAAGAACAGGCCCAACTTCCCCTCCTGGGCCCCCCCCGGGAGCTCCTTGCCAGCCCGCTGCTCGCTGACGGCCTGCTCGGCGTCCCGCGCCCTCAGGGCGGCCTCGCGCGGGGGTGCGGCGCGCACGCTGCGCCGCCGCTGCAGAGCGCAACCAAAGCTCTCGGCACCCTCGGGGGGAAGCTCTGGGCTCAGAGGTGCTCGCGCCGTGAAACAAAAAATCGCGACGGGATATTTGTCGTGCCTTGCTGGGCTTCCCAGGGCTCTCGGCGGGGCCTCGGGGCCGTCAAAAAGGACGGGGGATGACAAATGGTGCTGGGGAACGGGTCGGGACTTCCAGGGATCTTTCTTTCTTTCAGACTTCGGCTCGAGTCCATGGACTGCCTGTGCTATACCTCTCCGGAGACAGATTGGCGGCGCTGTGTGCTATGTAAAACTGTTGGAACCACAGGGGGAGGGGAGGAGAGGGCCGGCAGAGGGCCTTCCAGGGATCGCGTCTTCAAAAAAAACACACACGCACACGCACACACGCACACACGCACGTCTGTGGGAGGGAAGGGGCCCTGAGGCTCGCCCGGCAGGAGCGCTCGGCATCGAGTCGACGAGTCGGACCGACCGGCGATCGAAATGCATCGGATCGGTGGGAACCGGCAGCCGAGTCGGGAAAAGCCGGATCGGCGGAGATCGGCAGGCTAGCACGCCCCCAAGAAGAAATCGGAGCCCCAGGCCGAGTCGAATCGGAATCGGCAGCCACCGAAATCGGATCGAGCCCGGATCGGAGGGGTCGAAGTGAGCCCTGGCCCAGAGCCCTCCCCCGAAAGCGACCTCCGGAGGCCCGCTGCCCTCTGGAGGTCACCCTCGCAGGGCGGAGGTGCACCTCCTCCGCGGCTACCCCTCGGAGGACCAGAGGAGAGGGCCCCTCTTCCGCGGTGGCCTTCTGAAGCCCTCTGCCCTCCGAAGGTCACCGTGGAAGCGGACCAGCCGGCGTAGCGCAAGCGTGGGAGCGCGCGCGGTGACGCACCGGAAGAAGCCACCCGCGGCCGAGCGCAGGGGAAGGAGAGAGAGAGAGAGAGGGAGAGGGAGAGCGCGGGCAGGCATCGACACACAGGCACCCAGGCACGCACACACACGTGCACACAATGACAAACACACACAGAGGCACAGAAACGCACACACAGACACACGCAGAGACAGGCACATACACACTTTTGCGTCGGCGGCTAGGCAGAGTCACTGCGCTGGCGATGAAGCAGTAGTGGAGCACACATACACACACGCACGCACGCACGCACGTGCACGCACACACGCACGAACACGCACAGAGACACACACACACACGGACACAAACACACACATGCACACGAACACGCACACTGACATGCTCACGAACACGCACACACCCACACGCACACGCAGACACGCAGACACGAAAACATGCATCCACGCACGCGCACACGTACGCACGCACGCACACGGACACGGACACGGACACGGACACGGACACACACACACACACACGGATACATTCATAAACAAACACAAACACAAGCGCAATCACAGACACAAACACAAACACAAGCACAAACATAAACACAAACATAAACACAAGCACATACACACAAGCGCACACGCGCACACGCACACACACACACACGTATACTCAGGACACACACGAACACACACACAAACACACAAACACAACAACACGCACAAACACGCACACGCACACGCACGCACGCACGCGCACACGCACACGCACACGCACACGCACACGCACACGCACAGGCACACGCACACGCACACGCACACGCACACGCACACGCACGCCCACACGCACACGCACACGCACACGCACACGCACGCGCACGCGCACGCGCACGCGCCCCCGCCGCGAGAACCAGGGGAGGGGGCCCTCAAGACTCAAGGCCTCCTGGGGCTGCCCCCCCCCACGAGGAATAGGAGGAGGAGGAGGAGGAGGAGGAGGAGGAGGAGAGGAGGAGGAGGAGGAGGAGGAGGAGAGGAGGAGGAGAAGGAGGAGGAGGAGGAGGAGGAGGAGGAGGAGGAGGAGAAGGAGGAGGAGGAGGCCCAAGCGCCGGCCGGCCTGCAGCGGCGCGAACCACTGCAGGAGGTCCCCGTCGGCCGCCAGGGACTCCTCGTCCCTGGCGTCGCCCAGGGAGCTCGCCAGGCGGGCGCTCTCCGGGGGCTCCTCCTCGGCGTCGGCCTCCTCGTCGGCGTCGGCCGGCGCCTCGCAGGCCTGCCGCGCAGCAGCCTCCGCGGCCCGCTGCTCGTCGGCGGCCTTCTGTTCGGCCTCCGGCGGTGCAGTAGAGGTCAAAAAATCCCCCCCCCATAATAACCGCCCCGACAAGCGAGGCCGTTTACTGAACGCCCCCACCGAAAGAACCGAACAGGGCAGGGCTGCTTAGTGAACGCCCGAGGCCGTTTAATAGACGCCAATTGTCCGGTCCGGGTGGTTTTTCCTCCCTTGATCCGTGGCCCGCTGCTCGTCGGCGGCCTTCTGCTCGGCCTCCTGGGGTGCAGTAGAGGTCAAAAAATCCACCCCCATAATAACCGCCCCGACAAGCGAGGCCGTTTACTAAACGCCCCCACCGAAAGAACCGAACAGGGCAGGACTGCTTAGTGAACGCCCGAGGCCGTTTAATAGACGCCAATTGTCCGGTCCGGGTGGTTTTTCCTCCCTTGATCCGTGGCCCGCTGCTCGTCGGCGGCCTTCTGCTCGGCCTCCTGGGGTGCAGTAGAGGTCAAAAAATCCACCCCAATAATAACCGCCCCGACAAGCGAGGCCGTTTACTAAACGCCCCCACCGAAGGAACCGAACAGGGCAGGGCTGCTTAGTGAACGCCCGAGGCCGTTTAATAGACGCCAATTGTCCGGTCCGGGTGGTTTTTCCTCCCTTGATCCATGGCCCGCTGCTCGTCGGCGGCCTTCTGCTCGGCCTCCTGCGGTGCAGGGCGCGCAGACTGCAACAGCCTCCGAGAAGGAAGCCCTGCTGGTGAGCGCCGATCGGCGCGAGCCCTCGCACTCCCCCCCCCCCCTCCCCCCCCCTCCCTGGAGTGGATCTTGGCTGTTTTGGGCGCCTGTTTCGAACAGGTGGAATCCCTCCCCCATAGGACGCACCGCTGCAAACTAACGGGTGGTCTAAGCAGAGGTTCGGAGCCAAACCTCCCCTCCCCCCCTTTCCGCCCAAGTCGAAACGCCGAATAAGAAAACGTTCACCTGGGACATGCGAGGTCCCGGTCCACACCACCGATATTCCCTGTCGAATCCGCCGACCCGCGCTCCTCGGGGCGGACGAGACGTGTGGGGATGTTTGGCTTTCCCCCTCTCCCTGTTCCCCCCTCGCTTTGGGTCCCAAAACTATGTGACGGGGAGCAGGGGCGAAGTCCCTGCGCGAGATCACCCGCGCGCAACTCCCAGGACTGCAGAAAAATGGCCGGCGGGGCAAACATATACCGTTGTCTCGATACGGTATCCACAGCTGTGGGTGTCGTGACAATGGGCACTTTAACGGTTCTATCATTGATTTTACAATGTATTTCAAATATCTTCCACATATTCAAACATATCCGAAACAATATCTACACCATGGTTGGTTGAGCACCTTGGAAACACACGTTTTTTTTTTTTTTTTTTTTGTTTAAACATCTGGGAACTATTTGGCAACGTGCCTCCTCTGCATTGATCGTCTTCCGCAGCTCTACAACCGCATCGCGTCCTGACGACTTGTGTGTTCGTTTGCCGACACCGCAGATCGCCCAACCTCGAACGATCGCAGCCTTCCGGCACAGCGCGCATCTCGTCGATATCTCAGCCACTCCCTGGCCACCGGCGGCGCTCCAGCTTGAGCCCCAGAGCGCTGGGGTCGCCACCGTGTCGACGCGGCGCGGCTCTGACGTCGCGTGGCCCAAGATGAGGAGAGGGAGGAGGAGGAGGAGGAGGAGGAGGAGGAGGAGGAGGAGGAGGAGAGGAGGAGGAGGAGGAGGAGGAGGAGGAGGAGGAGGAGGAGGAGGAGGAGGAGGAGGAGGCCCACTTGGCCCCCGAGGAGCATCTGCTGCCAGGGCAGCGGGACCACAACAGCTGTGCGCGCCGCGCCGCGGGCTCCCGGCACGTCTGCGCTGCCTGACGCCAAGGGGCAGGCGGCTTTGCCCGCGCTCCGCGCTGCGCGACGTGCGCTCGCGCTCTCGCGCCGCCCCGCCCCCCCCCCGGCCCCCCAGGGGAGAAGACGATCCCCCTCCTCCTCCTCTTCTTCCTCCTTTTCCTTCCTCTCTCTCCTCCTACTCCCCTCCTCTCCTCCTCCCCCTCTTGTTGCTCGCCTCCTCCTTCTTTTCGTGCTTCGTCTTCTCCTCCTCCTCCTCGTCCTCCTCCTCCTCCTCCTCCTCCTCCTCGCACGTAGCTCGGAATGAAATTCGATTAGTCCTCTGCTTCAAATTGCTGGAGCAATTGAGCGCGAGCGAGCGGGGTGGCGATCGCAGCCTTTTTCACGTTATGCATGTACTAAGCGATCACAACTCTCTGGATCGCAAGCTTGCGCTGATCTTCTGTCATCACCGCCGCCAAAGCAAGTCTGCGATCAAGGAAAGGCTCGATCGGGTCATTGGGTCTCCATACCTGTAGCGCAGCCGTCCAGAGCTCAGGACAACTAAGGTAGTTGAGATCTGCCATGCTGGGGGCATTTGAACAAGGACCTCTCTCAGCTTTGGCCAACTTAGGGCCGCGAGAGCGCGTGCAAACGGGGGCCGCGAGGCCCACTTAGAGATGCACTTCGTAATCGTGTCCCCCAAAGCGGCGACCAGGAGAGCCTCTTCCGAGCCGCGAGCCATCGTCTTCTGGATGGGCGCCCCAGGAGAGATTTCGCTGGCCTCACTTAGAGCTTGGCGAGCATGCAAACATGTTGGTGCAGTCGCGGACAGGCAGGAAACGACTGGCTGGCGTCGAACAGTTCCTGTGCGAACGGACGAGCGAGCCAGTGAGATGGCGACCACTTGTTCGCTGTCCAGCTAATCGTTGGCAAGTGCTACTGTCACTGCTGCTGGAGACTCGACTACAACGAACACCAATTGGTGACTGTCGAAAGAGCTGACCGAATGAGCGCAGCAGTGCACGAGATGCGTAAGGATTGAGGGCGGATGCGAGACCAAGAGCAGAGCGAGAGCAGAGAGGCGAGAGGAAACGACAACTGTGGGAGATGAAACGCACGGTGCAAGGCCCAGCTTTCCCACTTAGAGATGGTATTCGGCATTGGCGAGAGCTGAGCAAGAAAAACAAACTTCGAGACCGCGCGAAAATTATACAGAGCGATCGCAACTGAGGGGACGGCCTTGGTCGTAGCTAGATCATGTATGATACCACGCCACTCACGAAACGCCCTCGCCCACATCACGTCTCTCGAAGCTGCTTGGCCGATCCACACCCCTAGATATCCAGCGCAGTCAATTATGGGGACGGAAGCCCATTTGGACACTCGCGTGGGCATGAAACTCTGAATGCCATCTTTTAGCTCGCACGAGAATACAGCGCCGACAGGGATCAATTTGCACTTCTGAAGCTTTAATTGGAGACCCGCTAGGATCTGCGCAACATGAAGAAACACACACACACCAGTCAAGTTCACAAGGGCTTTAAGATCCCGAAGAGACACCCCAACGTCATCAGCACAAACACCAACCTCCGTCCCAGGGAATTTCTTAAACCTCTTGCGCATATCACGAATTATCGGGTCCATGCAAAGGGCCCACATTGTGCCACTAAGTGGGTCACGTTGCATCACGCCCGGCTCAATGAAGCAACATAAGGAACAGAGGCCCTGCAAAGCTACAGGAGCGGCTGCGAATGAATAAGTGGCACGAGTGAAATGCTGAAAACCGAGAGGGGGATTGATGAGCTCAAGCAGGAGCCAAAGAAATAGATGACAGAGGGAGGGGCGCTTCGGCCCCTGGGCGCTTCGGCCCCTCCCTGCGGCACCCTCGCGGTGCATTCTCGCAGGTCGCAGTTTCGCAGTTCGCAGAGGGAGGGTAAAACATTTGCAAATTCCAGCATGAACAGAGCAGGAAGCTTCTCCTGCACGGCAGGCTGCATGCTGGCTAGACGTGCAGACGTGTCGAGGAAGGTCACGTTATCTAGAAAGTTCCGTTGAGCTACAAAGCCTCTCTGGTCTGGGCGTGGGTCACGCGTGAGAACCGGCTAGAGGGAGTAATTACAAGCCGAGGCAAGAATCTTGGCATCTGTATTTTTGAGCGCTAGTGGCCTCGTGGCAGCAGGCTCGCGGAGAACAAACGAAGAGTCTTTTGTGCGTCGACCATTGGGGGCAAACACCAGAAGTAGCCCATTCAGTTCTACGGGTGGGGGATGCCCACTCAAGAGAACCTGAAGTAAATCGAAGAGAACAGTGCCCGCGAGACGAGTTTGCTGCCAAGCAGCGTGAGGAGCCTCCTCCTCTTCCTCCTCCTCCTCCTGCTCGTCTCCGGACGAGGAAGACGAGGGCGAGGCATCACGAAGTGCGAGCCGCGAACGGCTTCGCGCCCTCGCGGCGGCCCCCGTGACGAGGCAGAGGCAGAAGAGGACGGGAGAAGCCAACACACGACGAGGAATCGCGTGAATCGAATCGATCTCGGCACATTTCGGTTTCGACCGCCTGGGCTCCTCCGAAGCCTGCCGCACAGCCTCGTCGGTGGCCCGCTGTTGGTCGGCGGCCTTCTGCTTGACCTCCTGCAGTGCATGGCGCGTAGCTTGCAACATCTGCAGAGCATGAAGGCAGAACGAAGAATGCGATATCCACATCAAATCCGGCGCTGCCGAGCACACGCCAGACGGCCTCGAGCATCGCCTCGAGCTTAGTGCTGACTTCAAGCATGTCAAGCGCATTACTCGGCATTGCCACCTCACCTCTATGCCGCTTAGACTCTTAGCGTTGCCGACAACACAAATCGGACCGATAGGGGCTGGCCGCAACGCCCAACGACCACATGCGCAAACCCAAAGAGAATGTCAGCCTACTGGAAATCGCGTGTGCCTATCTATGACTGCCACGACAGCGTGGCCTGCTGCATCAGTGGGTCGACGCAGCGCACACAATATCGCGTCGCCTACTCACATTGCGCCAAATATGGGTTTCGGTAGCCTGGGCTCCTTCGAAGCCTTCCGCGCAGTCTCCTCCACGGCCAGCTGCTCTTCGGCGGCCTTCTGCTCGGCTTCCTGCAATTCAGCGCGTCTGGCTTGCAACCGCTGCTGAGCAAAGGCCAGAATCAATGACAAACATACCAGGCCACACCAAAGACAATAAGAGTAAACCATGCATACATGGACAAGACTGCGCAACGCCAGTCGGCCACACAAGACAGAATCCATCAAGCCAGACTTACCAGAAAACCGAGACAGACCTAATCAGCTCAGGACAACAATAACTCGAGACCTAACCAGACCTGATCTGACCAGGCAAGTCAAACCAGACCAGCCAGACCACACAGCCAGACCCGAACCAGCATCGAAGACTCACTCCATTACAGAGCTTGCTTCAAACAGATCAAGTGCGCTGCCCATCACAACTGCTACTCTTCCATCCCCCCCCCCGCACAGTTGAGGTGGCTGCCCGCGAAGTCGGACCGAGATGCCCGCCCTGGCGGCAAGCTCTATACGACCCCCTTTCGCATCACCCTAGCACAACCAGCCTCTTGCTGCAACGTGGGGGTTGCGTTACTGACAGTGCTCCGCATGCCTCCCTCCCAAAAGGTGCAGCTTCGCATCCTCACTGGCGCGCTGCTCTTCGGTGGCCTTCTGCTCGGCCTCCGCCCTTGCTACCTGGGGCGCGCAACGTGAGCCGCGCAGCGCGTTTAAGTACGACTGTGAAGCAAACGCTCGGCGAGCCAGCAGTCAAACTCCTCGAGCGCTGAGTGGACGCCAAACGCGCGCCCAGTGACACGGCGGCCTAAGTTGGCTTGCGGTTGGTTTGCCCTTGCGACTCTCTCGAAAGCGCTGGCCCCACGGCACCATAATCCACCTTTCGTGAGTCGGGCGCGCTCCTGGACTCTTGGGGACACACCGCTGTAGCTGAACCAGGAGGCAAACTGCAAAAACTGCCGACTATGATGTGGAGTATTAAGCCAGGGGGTGGGGTGGGACAAGGAAGAGGAGGAGCAGGAGGGAGGGAAAGAAGAGTAGGAGGGAGGGAGCTGTCCCACTCGATCGAAGCCAGAGCTGGCATGGAAGACAGGGGCCCCAAGTAAAACGGGGCCAAGGTCTCTCCCAGGAGCCTGCTTTTCATTCCGAGCTTTCTTTCCCAACCATCCTGTGGTACTGGGTCCTCGTCTTGAAGAAGACGGTCCCCGCGTCTCCTCCTTCCTCTGTTCCTTGCTCCCTGGCCTTCCCCCAGGAGCGCCCGCCTGCCCCGGCGGGGGACTACAGAAGAGCAGCGCGCGGCACATGCCCTCTCGGAGGTCCACGCGGACCTCTTTGAAGGGGCCCTGGGACACACAAATAAATTCACACAAATAAGCATATCCCCCATATTTTCCAATATTTTGGGGGTTTTCGTCTTCCCCCCCCACTTCCCACATTTTCCCAATATTTTCTGGGAATCAACGATTAATTGTGTCTGTGTGTTCCTTTCCCTCCGGATTCTTGGATCGGCGATGGACCACCCCCCCGTCTTCCTGGCGGGCGGAACGCGCCAGGGAGGGCGCCGGAGGCGCCGCCCAGGAGCGTCCAGGCGCCGATCCGAGACAGCCGCACGCAGCTGAGGCGTTTTGAGTCTCGGCGCGGTGCTTCGATGGGGCAGGCCGGGAGCAGGGCGGCGGGGAGCGGGCCCAGGCAGACGATGTCCCGATTGTTGTGGTTCTCGACGCACGGGGTCTCCAAGGCCGGCTCCTTTCATCCCGAATCGTCTCCTGAGGGTCCAGGGGCCCGCCGGGGGCCCCTGGATGCCGAAGACGACAGCAAACACATCATACGGAAAGCCATTGGTGCAATGCCCAACAGCAAGTGCTCTCCCAAACCGACAGCGGCCGCAAGAAGGCAGGCGGATTATGTCTTCAGTGGACAACGTCCGCGGCGGCGCAGGCAGCGAGTCTTGTTCAAAGTGAACAGGAACTGCTGTTGGGCATCGTACCCATTCTTTCCGTAGACGTTTTGATCATCCCGAACGTTGTTTCACAACCCCAAGACGTCTGGGAAGCGGGGCAGGCCCCGACTGGGGCGGCATATGGCGGTGAACCGAGGGAAACGGCATATGGCGGTGAACCGAGGGAAACCAGCAGAGGCCCCCCCCCCGGGAGCTCTCGAGGGTGGGGTGGGCAAAATGAAGGTGCCGACGTTGTAGCTTGACTGCAGCCAAGGGGGCGGCTCAAGGCCCCCGTGCTTTCAGATTTCTTTCCTGTGCTCACCCCCAGCGCCTGCCCAGGCTGGGTGTGCACGCGTTCTGGCACCTTCCCGTCGGCGGTGCAGTGTCCATGGGCTCGAGAGATGTCCTCTTGGGGCCGCGGAAGCCGCTGTGGGCTTGCACGAAATGCCACCGCTCTGGCAACTGGGCGTCTCGCATCAAATGTGCCTGCGGAGCGGCCGCGCCGCCAACAGTCCAGAAGAGTGCGAAGGCCGCCCATGAGCAGGTGGTCGCAAGTGGTGCCAACAAGGGTGCGCAACCGAAGGGGCAGTGGAGTACGGGCAGTCCGCTCGACGCCACGCTCAAGAAGATCTTGGGGCGCCTGGAGGGCCTCGAGAAGAAGTCGGCACCGTGCACTTCGTCCTCGCCTCCCCCGCCGTGGAGGATGGAGGGCGACAGCGCAGGAGGATTGCCCCCGCCCGACGACCAGAAGGAGGCCAAGGAGAGACTGGCACACTGGCGGAGGGCGGCTCGCAACTCAGTCCACCAGGAAAACAGAATGCTGGCGGAGGAGATGGCCGCCAAGATTCACAAGGCCATCAATGATGCGAAGCCGCCACATGTCCAGCAGCACAGCATCACCACCAGGCTTGAGAGGGCGAGGACCACTGCGACCACGCTCGAGACCAAGCTGGCCTCGGTCACGAAGGAAGTGGAGGAGGCGCGCAAGATGCTCGAGGAGCGCCTCAAGTCCGCCAGAGAGTCCCTGGTGGAGGCGCAGAGGCAGGTCGCAGCCCTCGAGCAGGAGGCCAAGGAGTGCTTCGCCAGGTCCCTGGCCAAGTCGGACGGGCCTGTCCTCAAGCTGGAGGAGCAGCAGCTGGGGTCGGCCTCGTTGGAGTTTCGCGAGTGGTTCCGCGAGCAGAAAGGTGACGAGAAGGCCTCCAAGCATCTCGAGGCCTTGTTCGGCATGCTCGAGGCACAAGCGGTCGCTGTTCGCAACGGTGCTGTACCTCCTCCTGCTGTGCCAGGTGATGATGATGATGGTGACATGGAGATTGACGAGGCCGACGAGCTGTCCTTCGAACAGGCTGCCGAGGCTCTACGGCAAGCCAAGGAGCGCGCGGCAGCCGCTGAGGGAGATGGAGTCGAAGCAGCGCGTGAGTTTCTCAGAGAGGCCAGGCGCAAACTACAGTCTCAGCTCCAGGCGGCTGCTGTCAAGAGACAGAAGCGTGGGTAGTATTGAGTCGGCGTGTTCATGGAGGCCAGGATCGACGGCATCGGTCACGAGTTCGTGGACAGACCTGGCAGCTGCAGACCCCCCGAGCCCTGCGGGTGGCCAAGGCCTTAAATCGGGGGAGCGTCTCAGTGGCCAGGTCGGCTCGTTGCTTGTCTCACAGTGTTGTCGGCGAGGAGCAGGGATCGCGGCGCATTCTTCGTCTGCCGCACCTGCTACACCGATGCAGCCGTCAGGATCGGCTAAGTCAGCTGGAGCTTCTCCCTCCCCGAGCCGCACCAGGATCAGGATGGGCAATAAAGGCAGTGACAGGAGGAATCGGTGGGTGTTTTTCTCCTGTAATGCCAACTCCTGGGCGTCTTGGGAAACTATCCTGGATTGGCGTATGGAGGACGTGAGGGGCCCGAAGCCCCAGTTTTGGGCTGGGCAGGAGACTCGAGTCTTGGAGGCTGCTCAGATTGTTAAGTTTAAAGGCTCGATGAGGTCGAAGGGCCTCAACATCGACTTCTGCCCTGCAGTACCCACAGGATCTGGTGCATTAGAGACTTCGGCAGGTGTGATGGCTGGAGGCCTCGCGCACATCAACCAGTGCACAGTATCATTGGAGAGTCTGAAGTCCGTACCTGAAGCACAGGGCCGAGTGATAGCTAGACATGTTAACGGTGTTGTTCCTGGAGGTTGCGTTTGGTTGCCTGTGTATTTCTACCACTCCCAGGGAGTCAGCAGGGACAACGTGGGCCTCCTCGCGGGGCTTGGCCAGTTTCTTGGGAGCCTCGCGGTGCCTTGGATCCTGGGATGTGATGCTAACATGGGGCACCAGACCTCAGGTTTGACCTCCTGGTGTACCGAGCTAGGGGCTACCATCGTGGCTCCATCGACGACGACCTGTGCTGCGGGTAAGGGGCAAGTGTATGACTACTTTATTGTATCGGCTGGGCTCTGTCAGTGCGTTGAGAAGGTGCAGGTTTGGAACGATGCTCCAGTGTCGCCCCGCTCCCCTGTGGAAATAGCGCTCGTGGGGGTTTCGCTGAATATTCCCATCCACGTACGTTGTGTTTGGAAGCGATTTCCGACCCAGAAGACCACGGGGTGTGATAGGGAGCCCGTCATTTACAACTGGTCGTGGCATTCTGGGGGCACGGGGGACATGGGGCTGACGCGTGTATGGGATCAGTGGATGGATTTTACTGAACTGGAGCAGTGCCGTGTTTTTGACATCCAAGGGGCTGAGCAGGAGCTGTATGTTGGGCGTTCGTCTGGTTTCAGGAGAAAACAGGTTTCCGTGGACACGATTGTCAAAAAGAAATGGTTTGCTAACACCACGGCTCAGCTCCGATCATGGCGTACTCTAGTTTCGTTACTGGTCAAAGCGACGGCCTGCCTGGACGACCTGTCCAACTCCGTGTATTGGCAGACGCTGCGCTCTGGCCTCTTGAAGCTGGACCAGAAGTCTCTCGGTCCCAAGTTTTTGTGCCTTGCCCTTAGCCTGCCCCAGCTGATTGGGATCATTGAGGACTCTGATGGGGCCGATCTGGGTTATCTCACTCCGACTGCTCAATCCACCTACGAACACATGTTCAGGGATCACTGTAGCAAGAAATGGGCTAAATGGAGGTCTTGGGCTCAGGAGGCTGTTACTAAGGACGGCAAGGCGGCGCATGCTTTTTTTCTAAGGGGCGTCCTCCTGCAGTTGGCCCGCTTTCTCCTCAGGGCTGGGCGCTGCAAGGGGACCAAGCCGTTGAGGCCTTGAAGTCCGAGTGGTGCCAGTACTGGTGCAGCCATAAGTGCCCGCTCACTGCCCAGCATCACCGTCGTGCAGACGAGGCTCCCCCGCTTCCTCGGCCAGGCATTGAGGTTTTGAAGTGGGCGCTTAGCAAGATCAAGCATGACACGGGCCTAGAAGTGGATTGCATGAACCCCAGGTGTTGGTTGCTGTTGCCACTGGATTTCCTGGAGCGTTTGATTGACCTCATGATGCTATGGGAGAAAAAGCCGTTCCTCCCAAGAAAATATGCCACCCAAATCATATTCCAGGGCAAACCTGATGGTGCTGGATTGCGCCCGTTAGCTTTGATCGTCAGCGTCCTCAGGGTCTGGGCCAAAGTTCGACAGGTGGTGGCGCGTTCTTGGGAGTTGGAGAATTCGGCGGACTTCTTCTGGGGAGCTAGAGACAGGGAATGCGATCGAGCTGGGTGGCAACATGCGATGCTAAATGAGTTTGCTCGCATCCAGAATTTCGACGCTGGCACGTGGTTCGGAGACCTTGATAAATTCTATGAACGTGTGGGGCCTGCTATTTTATTTGACGAAGCGGAGGCCACGGGCATGCACCTAGGGCTCACTCGTGCAGCAATAGTGTTATACACTGGTGCGAGAGCTTTGAATTTCCAGGGCGCTGTGTCCAACCTGATTGAGGCGATGGGCACTGTTGTAGCAGGATGCAGTTTGGCCACCACTTTTGCCAAGGTTGTATTGTACAGGCTGCTGGTAGCGGTCGCAGCTGCTTTCCCTTCCCTGACGATTCGTAATGTGATTGATGATGTTTCGATCCAGGCCCTTGGGACCACGGATTTCGTTTGCGAGCAGCTCGGGAAGGCAGCCATCATGATGAAGGACGGTTTTGAGAAGCTGAAGCTGATTTTGTCGGGTAAGAAAACGAAGTACATAGCCTCCTCAAAGCAGCTGGGCCTGGCCTTGGCGCTCAAGTGGGCCAAGTTCGGTTTCAAGAAGCAGCAGTATGTCAGGTCGCTGGGTTGTGATGCAGTCGCGCAGAGGATTCGGCGCAATCCGACGGCCAAGAAAAGACTGGCTAAAGCAGGAAGGAGAACCGCTAGGATCTTGAGGCTTAAGAACGCTGGGGCACTGGTTGGGAATATTCAGAGGTCGGGTCCTCAGGCATGCGGGCTCTGGGGCTCGGCTGTAGCTGGCCTGACTCCCAGGCAGGTGCATAACATGAGGTTGTCGGCTTCCAGGAGCCTATGCAAGGATGAAGCTGGAGCTCTCATGTCGTTCAGGTTACGTTCGTTTCCGACTAGGGCCTCTATGGATCCGTATGTCATCTACCATGGTAACGTGATATATCAATGGTGCCGTGCTGTGTGGGATGGGTCCCCTGGGCTCCACATCATCCAGAAGGTGTTTGAGAAGGCTTCTGATGACCTTTGGAGATCCAGAAGGCCCTGGCATGTCTGTACCTCGCCTGCGCACGTGTACCTGCTGTCTACGGCTGAGCTGGGTTGGAGACCGCTCTCGGCCAGAAAGTTACGGCTCTGTGACGGAGAAATGATCGACCTGCTGGAGCTTGCACCGTTGGCAGTCAGAATGCTTGCGGAGCGTGATGCAGGACACTGGGCTGACAAAAGGGCCCTCATGCAACGACCCAAGTGCAGCGCGGTCTGGTGTAGGCCTGTCTACTGGGAAGGAGCCAGGAGTCTGATATCGGGCAAAACCTCGGGGGCCTGGACGAAGCACCACCAGGCTTGTGCTAGGAACACCTTTTCCCTGGGGACCTGGACGCAGGCTCGCCTCAAGGACCATGGGCTTTCCGATGAGGACCTATGCCAGCTTTGCCGTGCCGAGCGAGGAACTCTGTACCGCAGGCGCTTCAGGTGCGAGGCTTTCCTGGAGGACAGAGGAGTGCACCTCTCGGCGCAGTGCATGCAGGCCGCCCGCCATGCTCGTGACATGAATCAGGACCTGGAAAAATTCGCTGCAGGTGTGCTACCCTATCCCAAAGAACTGATCCCGCAGGCCCTTCGTAGAGATAAATGTTCTATCTGTTGGTTCAACAAGCCAACCTCAGGTAAACTCTAGGGCTTGATTTTCTCTGATGGGTCCGCGGTCCACCCCACCTGCGAGTTCAGGAGACGTGCGGGGTGGAGCCTCGTGCAGGTGAACCCCCAAGGGGAGATTTTGTGTGCCGCCTTCGGACCTGTGCCCAGGGAGGTTGCGCCTAGCCAGCAGGCCAGGGATGGTGAGGACTATGCCTACAGGATGGCGGCTGAGCTCGTGGACCCGTTTTCCGATTTTGAGATTTGTACTGACTGCACTGGGACCCTCGGGTGCGTGTGGGGTAGGGCCAAGAGTTGCTCTTCCCAGAATTCCAGGGCCCACCTCTTGAGTTTTGTTTGGCATGTTTTTGAGGACGGTCTCAAGGCCAGAAAGGTCAAAGGGCGCGCCACCTCGGCTGATGTTCTCAATGGGATGTGCAGTGACCTGGAGAGGCTCGGCAATAAGCATGCGGATAGGTTTGCCAGACAAGGAGCAGGCATGCACCCCATGCCCGAGGTTCTTGTTCAGGCCATAGACACCTGTCGTTCGGTCCAAGAAGAGATCGTGCGATGGGGAGCGATACAAGATGTCATCATGGCCGATAGAGGTTGGGCCGACGCGTCTGGGTTCCCTGGGTCCGCCGTTTCCGAGAAATCGGAGCGCGATTTCCCCAGCCGTGATAATAAGGGCCGAATTCGCTGCCAGGTCAGGGCCTTGCGGCAGATATCGGCCCCCTGGTGGCCTAGAGTTGACTTTCGTGTGCCGATCATCTCGGACACAATGCCCGAGCACCCTGGCAGCCCTGAGCAGTTGTCTGAACTAGCCTTGCTGTCCCGCCTCCAGGGGCACAACCTTTGCAAAGCAAAGGTTTTCGTGGGGGACGGGAGTCGGGCGGCTGGGAGTGGGTGGGTGATGTCATGCATCTGCTGCGGTGGCTATGCGTGGGCTGGCGTGGCCTCGCTTGCCAATAAGTGCCCAGGCCACCCCCCCACTAAGGACCTCAAGCGACAGAGGACGAGGTTTGCCAAAGGTGACTTTCCTAGCTGGGCTAGGCAGTACAAAGGTTGGTCGGTCACAGGCCACCGATCGCCCACCCCTCTGGATTTGGTTACCCTGGTCCGTGCCTCGCACAAAGGGGTCCAACTTTCGGGGGGGGCCGAGCCTGAGGCAGGTGATTTTGTTGATGGCCTGTGGGAGGGGAAGTGGACCCCTGGTCAGCTCCTCACCCGATTTGGCTTGATTCTGCCAGCTGAGGCTGATCAAGGTATCGTGTCCTAAGCTGTGTTTGTTGCTAGGGGCGGGTGGCACTGACACCTGCCTCCACTGAGAACAAAACAGAACAGGAGGAGGAGGAGGACCAGGAGGAGGAGGAGGACGAGGAGGAGGAGGAGGAGAAGGAGGAGAAGGAGGAGGAGGAGGAGGAAACGGAGGAGGAGGACGAGGGGGAGGATGAGAAGAGGAGGAGAATGAGGAGGAGGAGGAGGAGGAGGAGGAGGAGGAGGAGGAGGAGGAAAAGGAGTAGGAGGAGGAGGGGGAGGAGGAGAATGAGGAGGAGGACTGGGATGGGGGAGGAGGAAGGGGAGGGGGAGGCGGAAGAGGACGCCGAGGAGGGCGGTGGCCCGAGGGAGAGCCGCGGAGGCCCCCCTTCCCCCTTCCCCCCCGCGGCGGGCCTTCTCCTCGGCCATCCGCCGCAGCAGCGCCGCGCTCCTCTGTGCCGTCGCCTCCCGCGCCGCGCGCTCCGCCTCTCGCGGCGGGCGGCGGGCGGCGGCGGCGGGGCGGCGTCGGGGAGCCCTCGGAGCCCGAACGTGCTCGCTCGGAATATGCTTAAAAGAATGTTTCATTGGCTGTCAGTGTCGCGTCGCGGAGCTCATCGCGGCGGGAGAGTTTCTGGGTCGTGCGTGCTTGGCCCCGGGGGCCCTCGCTGGGCCCCGGGGGCTGTCAGGAGGCGACCTGGGACGACACGTCGGCCATGGGGAAAGGATCGAGGCTTCTGGGGGCCCCGTCTTGATACAGTCAAGACGTCGGATGGCTGGGTCTCAGGAGGAGGGGCAGGAGGACGATGATGATGATGATGATGATGATGATGATGATGATGATGATGATGATGATGATGATGATGATGATGATTGATGATGATGATGCTGATGATGCTGATGCTGATGCTGATGCTGCTGCTGCTGATGATGATGATGATGATGATGATGAGGAGGAAGAGGAGTCGGGGAAGGAGGAGGAGGAGGAGGAGGACCAGTGTAAGCCCAAGACCGCTCAACGATGTTGCAACACACCCTCCCTCCAAATTATATCTTCATGGGCTCCTATAAAGATCTGCTATCACTGCTGGAAATCACCCGATGGAAGACAACCGTCTGAAAATCCCGAACCGTGCCAACACACCGTGCCTGTGACTTCAACGGCACGAATCAACGTTACTGTTGCGCCCGGACGATCATGAATCGTGCCAGAACACCATTCCTGGAACTTCAACACAGCGACTCAACGCGAATGTTGCGCCTGGGAAGTTCTACATCGTGCCAGCCAACACAGTATCTTGGACGTCAACTGTAATCATCAGGGAAGCTGTTGTGCCCTCTTGAGGCGACTGTGCGCGGCGTTGAAGCGAGAACCACATTTTAAACAGGACCGTCCTCCATCCGTGAAGGTCTTGCGAATTTGTAAGACGCACGTGCGCGGCGCTGAAGCGAGAACCACAATTTGAAAACGAACCGTCTTCCATCCGTGAAGGTCTTGAATTTTTAAAACGCATGCGCGCGGCGCTAAGGCGAGAACCACCTTTTGAACACCGTCCGCCCTCCACCCGTCAAACTCTTGCAAACTTTTAAAGCGAATATTGCGCGGAACGAAATTGAAAACCACATTTTGAAAACCGCCGGCCCGCCCACCATCCGTGAACACCGCCTGCATGATATCAGTGAAACTCTCGCAAACTTTGAAGACGAATGTGTGCAGAGAGAAAACGATGGCCACATTTTTAAAATGAGCCGCCCTCCATCAATAAAAATCTGGCACGATTTGAAAACGAATACGCGCGGCGCTAATAGCGAGAAACACGTTGTGAACACCGCCCGCCCTCCATCCGTGAAGCTCTTAAAAACGTGCGCGGCACTCAGACGAGAACCACATGTTGAACACCGCCCGCTTTCCATCAGTGAATTTGCTGCAACTTCTAAGCTTTAGGATCATACACGGCGAGAGAAACTCCGGCGAAACGCCCGGCCCGCCCTACCGACACGTCTCGGGGTGCGGCAGGGAGGAGGAGTTCTGTAGAAGTGAAATGGGTGGAGGATTTGGAGGAGGAGGTTGAGGTTAACCAATTCCCCGTAGAGGGGCGAGCTCTAGAAGACAGAGATAGAGAGAGAGGGGACAATCTCGGCGGGGGCAGCCTGTCCAACGATATCTTTCTGCTCCCTGACAGGCGGGACGCGCCCTGCTGCTGGGGCCCACCGACAAGGCAGTGCTGCTTGACTCTCACAGGTGGGACGCCCTGCTCGATCAGCTAAGGCAGGGCCCAGGGGAGGGGCAGCATCAACAGCAACAGGAGGCTCCAGGAGGCCCAGAAACGGCCCGAGAGGGGGTGCGCCACAGTGGGTCCGTCGGCGAAAGGGCCCCGGCGGACAAATCCCCAGGGCCACCTTCGTGATAAAATCCGCATTGAGGAGGCAATTCAATGAACCGAAAACTGACAGGCGAGACGGCAGCTTTCCAGCAGCTGGACATCAGCCTCCAATGACCTGCCGAGCTCGGCTCCTGTTTTGCGAAGCTGCCTGCCGCCGCCTTACTATCACAGTCGAACTCCGACATCCGATCCTCCATCACGTCCGTGGCAGGCGCGTGGGCCTTGACATGATCCACAGAACGGGCTGGAGGAAGAGCATATGGGGGGGGAAAGACAGACGCACAGGTATCCACCTCGTCCTCGTCCTCGCCCTCTTCCTCCTCCTCCTCCTCCTCCTCCTCCTCCTCCTCCTCCTCCTCCTCCTCCTCCTCCTCCTCCTCCTCCCCCTCCCACGCCTCCATCCCTCCTCATTATGCATAACTCTTCCCCCTGCCGCGCCCCGAGGCGGGTCGCTGGGGCGGACCGGGCGTTCGCCGCAGACGTCCTCACCACTTCTGATCCTCAGTTTGGAATTTGCAGCAGCTTCACGGATGCAGATCGGACCATTTTCAGACTGTGGCTCTCGCCATACAGTAGTGGCCCCACCAGAAGAAACCTTCCACAAGAAACCCAACCCGGAGACCCCAGGACGTCCATGGATTTTTGGTGTGGGAACCTCACGCTTTCCATCGCATAACCATCGAAACCGAAGACACCCAGGGCACCCTAGAGGCGAGCAGGGTGTTTCTCGGCATGGGTCTCCGCTGTAGCGCCGCACACAGGATCCGTCTTGGACAACTGCGGGATCCTCGCGGATGGAATGCGGGCTGTTTTCACAGCAAGGCTCTCGCCCTAGCGCCGCGGACACTCGCGCAAACAGTCTGCCAGAGCCTCATGGATAGAGGGGGCGGCCCTGGCTCTCGCCTCAGCGCCGCGCGCATCCGTCTTAACAGCTAACAGCAGTTTGAAGGCCTTATGTGGTTGTCGCTTCCTTGCCGTCGCTCGGACGTCCATTTCCCGTGCATGTTTCGGCTTCGTGCGTGTGTTTTTTTTCGCTCGATGATCCCGGATGTTCCTCAAGGGTCCTTGCCGAGAGAAAAATACGCACGTCCGAGCGATGCCAGGGTCCCAGAAGTGGTGTTCTGGCGCGATCAGGGGTTGTCAGGGCGCGACTGTCACGCTGGTTCGCGGTGAGTTGACGTCCAAGGCCTGGTGTCCTGGTACGACTTCGGATCGTCTGGTCGCGACAGTGACACTGATGCGCGGCGTCGAAGTCCCAGGAATGGTGCCTTGGCACGGTCGAAGAGCTAGAGGCGGTGGTCTTCCAACGGGGCCCTCCCCGCAGCGAAAGCAAATCCTTGTAA